ACCTCCACTCCTTTAACATGAAGCTCTGTGATTTGCGTACGGCTCTTCCGCACCTTTACCATCGACGACAGCCGCTTCGAGAGGAGACCTCGCCGGTGAGTTCTCTGTCCAGCCCCGCCATCAGATGAAGCCTGTCCTGCCTGTTCGTCATATATTCTTTGAGCTGCGCCTCTTTCTCATTTAAACGCTGACTTCTGACGTCACGGCGCGGATTACCCAACACCTCCTGCCGCAGCGTTGCGACCGCTTCTGCAAGGTGAGCGCATGTTGCTCGAAACCCTCTTACGCTCCTCCTTGGTATGTGCACGAAGCCCAGCATTCAGCCTTTGGACCAGCAGCTCGAAACTGCTCCCGTCCGATACAGTGACTTTTTTAACAGTGTATTCTATTATTCTCCTGATGCCAGGTCGCTTCAGCATTGACGCGTGCAGTCTTCAGATATCAGGACCCATTCTGGAGCCAGCGTCAACTCTGAAGGCGTCCTTAGCTGCAAAGGCGTGATCAAATATCTTGTCCAGCGGAGTGACATGGGAGGCGAATTCAAGGAAAGGTAAAAGCGCGAGGGAGATTAAAGCACGGTCAATCCTGGAGCTCTCGCGGTGAGCATGTGAGTAAAGGTTGTATTCGCGGTTGCGAGGATGAAGCGTTCGGTAAGCATCGGATAACTGGAAAGCTGTGCAATGGCGGAAGAGTCTGTCATTCCACTGCCGTGCCGGATTCGAATGTCCTGCTAAGAGCGGATTTTCGACTATGTTAATGTCGCCGATGATGCTTATGTTAAACTAGGGGGCCAAGGGTGTTCAAGATGAAGGTGGTTCGCAAAGCAAGATCGGCCGGAAAGTAGACAGCGAATAAGGTGAGCTGGAGGCCAGGATCGTTTACGTCCGTCTGTATAACCGGATGGGTGCGAAGTGGTGTTAAGGAAGCGAAGGGACTGGTTGCGGCTGAGTACGGCACCAGCTTTCGCCGTGGGTGAGGCAGCTGCTACAGTCGTGAAACTAGGTGAGGTCCAGAACTGGTGGGTGCTGTCTAGTCTGGTGTCTGCTAACACTATGATGTCTGTTGCGTCTCTAGTCCAGGCTGTTACTCTGTCTTGCTTCGTGCAGTCTCCGAGCCCGTTCACATTGAGGCTCGCACATGTGATAAGGTTTTTGTTACTCATTTAACCACTGACTGGCAGCCCCTACGCATCCACAGGCTGATAAAAGCAATGAAACCGACTACGCTGACTACGGTACACACTCTCGCCGCCGTTGTAAGTCTACTGTTCAGATTCCGAACTCCTTCTTCAAAGCAGCAAGCTTCGACTTCTCCAGGGAGCTTTTTGTCGCAGTTCCGAGTTTCTCCTGGCAGATGAGGTGAGCAGTTGAGGCAACGTGGTCTGATGCCGTCATGAAGCACCTCCCGTGAGCCTTCTTGCAGCTAGCCTGAGTGCATAACCACTCCTCCCGGTTGCTCCCTGTCGAGATGAGAGCCAGAGCAGGGTCCCGGAGAATAGGGAGGAAGAGCTCGGTGGCTTTCAGGGACGCAGCTGCAGGAGTCAATCAGAGCGTTAGTATAGGTGAAAACAGTAAGGACACGGCGACCGTGAGAAGGTGAGATAAGAACACTGTTACCGTTGAGTCTGTGAGCTTTCCCAAGCGTCAGATTCCATTTCCCTACATTTTTCTGACGCTCTACAGTGAACGCATTATGATACTTATCATAGTGATGTCCTCCGCAGAGTGTGCAGGACAATGAAGGGTAATGGATCAGCAGCTTCTTCGAGCGGTCAGCTGGGTCGATCACCGCATGGATCCAACGGCCGACATGTCCAGGGTGCGGGTAAACAAGACCCTTGACGACGTCCGTATCCGCGCCGGTCACAGGATGGAGGACGCGGTGAAAGCAGGAACAGCGCTGGAACGCGGGACGTTGGCTTTTCTGCAGCTTGTAAGTCGCAAGCCGATCAGTCAGCATGTCGAGTTCCACCGTCGCCGACACACCACGGAAAACAACTTCCAGCGCAAGTGGGTTCAACAATCTCTCCCTGATGAATGAAACATTGTTAGTGTGTTGCCAGTGTAGTTTCACCAGCTTGCCGTTCAGCCTCTGATACACCACTTCCTTTGACTTGCAAATCTCCGCATCATTGTCCAGGGCGAAGTAAAGCTGCAGGCGACAGTAGCGGATTTTTGCGATGTATACCGCTTGCAGCTCCTGAAACTTCGTCGTCAGCAGAGCACAGGCTGAGAGTTCTGCATTCCAGCCACGCTTCATCAACATCTTTACAGTTTCAATGACACAAGCAACTTCATGAGCGAGCACGAAGGGAAGTAACAAAATGACAGTGGTGCCGAAACGCATGGCTGCTTCCTTGTCAAGATCGACTTCCATCTCGTCATCCGAGTCATCATCCGCGAGAAGAATTCGTGACCGCACCGTGTGTCTGCACCGCTTCTCTTTCCGTCGTAGTCAAACCAGATCCGCCAGCAGAAGCATTGACAGGTGAAGCCGGCGAGTTCCCAATGTTAGTGTCTTCGCCTTCCGATACTGTGTCTTTGGCAGGCTTGTCGTTGACAACAATGACGGGATCGCCAGGAGCAACAGGAGGGTCAACGATGGTCTTGGAGCGAGAACCCTTAGGAGGAGCCATTGTGCAATGATGAGACACTGGCAGACTGAAGCTAAGCTCGAAGAGAAAAATGGCTGTTAAAAACCGATCTGCCAGACTTCTGAGCACAGAGTGATTAAGTAGTAGAAAAACCCCGTCAGGATCCAGGCTCTTAGGGAACATTCATGTGGAGACACTTGTGTCGCAATCCCGTTTTCCCGAGTCGCGCCTGTAAATTTGCCCAATGTCGCGTCACAAACAGCGAATGTGCCGCGACGTAGGGCGACAGATTGGCCGGTACAGCTGGACACTTTTCATTGGCCGCGATCACTGGGCTTGGACCCAACCCTTTTCCTTACGGGCAGGCTGCTGAAACAGTGTGCATGAAACGAGGCCCGTGCTGCGGGCCACTTTAACGGAGCTTGCAAAATATGCAAGCCGAGTTTGTGAAGACACATCACACAGGAGGTCACACTCTGCCTTCCAAACCAACTACAATAGAACACACAACACAGACCAGAATTGCTCACACCTCTAGCAACCATGGCACAGCCCCGTGCAGTGCCTTTCCTCATGTGACTGCTAGTCGCGTGGATAACTTTCTACTACTCTATCTTCATGGACGTCGTCGCTAGGTCGGTTGGCGGTTTGATGGAAGCCAACATTTTCGCCGACGAAGATACGTCGACGTCTACCTCCCACGGCTCCAACAGGACGATGGAGAGGAAGCGGACGATGGAGAGGAAGCAAAGGGCTAGTCTGCGGAGGCAGAGGTACCAACTGTTGCTAGAGGACCTGCAAGGCATGGGAGAAGGAGAGTTTAGGGACCTGTTTCGGATAAACTGTGCAATACTCGACTACATTGTCACAGGCATGGTGTACTACATGCAGCCATATGTGGACAGGTACCTCATCACCCATGAGGTGGCCTGCTTGGTGGCGATCAAGTACCTCGCCAGTGGCATGTCGTACGGAGACATGTCTCGTCTATTCGGGTTGTCCAAGACCCTCTGCCATGCGCTTGTCGACGCGTGGCTGATGCATTTCCCGTCGGTCTTCAAACAGCAGTGGGTCCACTTCCCGACCCGCGACGACCTCGACGAGATGGCCGAGGAGTTCCGCGCCATCAAGGGTGTGCCTGTTGTCGTGGGGGCTATAGACGGGACACACATTCACATGAAGGGTATGGAGGGGCACAGGCAAGAGTACTACACGAGGAAAGCCGCATACGCCGTGCAACTGCAACTGACATGTGATGCACGAGGCATCATATGGGACTACCTGATCGGTTACCCAGGTAGTGCTCACGATCAAAGGGTGTTCATGAACAGCGCGTTACAGGAAAGGTTGCACAACGGCGACATAGCGCCATATCAAATAGTCGAAGACGCGGCCTACCCACTCAGGGATTTCTGCCTGACCCCCCTACATGCACCCCGTGAAGGCCTAATGGACGACTGGGAGCAATGCTTCAACTACTGCCAAAGCGCAACGCGCATGGCAGTTGAGCGCTGCATCGGCGCCTTCAAAGGCCGTTGGCGTCTGTTTTCGGGCCGCAATTACTGCAAGCTCTGGCGCGTTCTTGCAGGGGCTTCTTGTTGCGTCATCCTGCATAACATGTGCGAAACAATGGGGACAGTGAGGCGAGTTAACGCGTCGTGGGCCAACTTGCCACGTAACCGAGACCCATGGTGGACACGTGGAGCTGTGGCGGAGTTCAAGTGGGAGCCCTGTGTGCCTTGCACGCAAACAACTCTGCGGGAAAGGCGCAGCCAGAGGGGTTTGACGATGGTAGTGGCAGAGTGTGGAAGCTGAAGAAGGCCCTCTATGGGCTGAAGCAGGCCCCTAGGCAATGGTACATGAAGCTGCGCGAAGTGTTGGAGGGGATCGGCTTCACTCCCTCAACGGCCGATCACTCCTTGTTCATGCTTGGCGAGGGGGAGCAGAGGAGTTTCATGGTGGTTTATGTGGATGACATCCTCATTTTCTCACCCTCTTCTGACCTTGTGAAGGAGGTGATGCTGAAGCTTCAAGACAAGTTCAAGTGCAAGGCCCTTGGTGACGTGAGCTTCTACCTTGGGCTCCACATCGAACGAGATGTGGAGAAGCGGTGCATGCGGGTGCATCAACGAAAGTACCTGGAGGCATTGGCTGCCAACTTTGGGCAGAGTGAAGGCCATGTGGCTACACCCTTTCCCTCTGGGTTCAAGTGTGTGAAGGGACCAGAGGAGGAGAGCGTTGGTGAAGAGGAGAGGCGCCGATTTCACTCGTTGGTGGGCAGCCTCATGTATGCGGCGGTAAACACCCGACCGGACGTCGCGTTTGCTACCGGGCAGCTGGCTAGGGTTGTGCAATGCCCTAATGAGGAGCAGGTAGCAGCTAGGCAAGGTTCTAGAGTCGTCGTACCTTACTCGTCGTCGCCGCGAACCCACACCTCCTCGGCAGCATCCGGGTTAGCGGCGCCATCACCAGCCTGCCCGCGACGGAACCATCTGTCATCGCCGCCTTCGGCGGCGTTCGTTGCGGGCTGGGGGTCCGAGGTCGCGGGGATGTCGTTGCGGGCCGGCGGGGTGGGGGCGGGCTGCGCCTGGCTTTCGCGCGCAATACGCTCGTCCTGCTCCATCCATGCGCGGACGAGGCCTTCGAGCCTGTTCATCGCGTCCGAGTGACAACCTTTGATGGTCTCGCAGACGAGCTTTGCGGCGGCCATGGCTGCCGGCGCAGCAACCCGCGGGCGCTTCGACGTCGGAGTGCTCTGCGGTGGGGGTGCTGCACATTAAATAGTAGAGACGCATGAATCTGTTAGAGGCATGTCGCATAAAGCATGTGGATACTATTTGCAATATCCTTGTGAGATAATCAAACACAATCCGCAGCAAACATGTGAGCACGGGCAAGGAACTCACCAGTGAACGTCGGAGTAGAGGTGCACGGCGCGGACGTAGACGGTACCGCGAACCCGCAAGGCACGTTAACGTGTGTCGCACCACCTTCATCTACGGCGTGAGGGTGTGCCACGGCCCTGTTGTTTTGGAAGAGTTCCATGTACGGGAACCACGGTGGCTTACACACCGCTCCCTTGCCCGAGGTCTTCTCCCCCTTTTTCAGTTGCTTGTACATGGTGACGAGATTTCGCCACTGCTTCTGCACCGCGTTCACGCCGCGCACCCACCCAGTGTTCTCTTTCTCGATGTGGCGGACGAGGCGAGCCCAGTACTGAGAGCCTTGCTTGCCGATGAGTGGCTCGAGTTCGTCCTTCATGAACCAACGCGCCGCCACTAAAATGGTGCTCTCGCGGGGTGACCAAACGCTGCGCTTCACCGGGTGCAGGTTGCGTGTCTTGGCCGCGCCACGAGGTGGTTCGCCGCCCTTAGCGGCGGTCTTGGCTCCGGATGCGATAGTACCACGGCCGCGACGAGACGTTTGTGCTGCGGGCTGCGCCTCCTCAGGTGCGTCATCCTCGTCGCCGTCGGCATAGTCCGCGTCGGCGTCGTCCGCGTCGGCGTCCTCCTCGGAGTCGGACATGCCCTTGTCCTCCTCCTCTCCAGAGTCAGCGTCATCCTCGGTGCCGTCGTCGCACTCGTTGTAGTCCGAGTCATCGTCGTCGTTACCGAAGGCCGCATCGTCCAAGACGCGCGAGGAGGCAACACGGTCAGTCGCACGGCGGCCGCGAGTGGGGACATCACGCAGGGCTTGGTAAGATGTGTCCCCCGCCTCAGGCGTTCCTTCGGGCAACGGGCCGGCGGGCTTGCGTCCGGCTGCGAGCTGCTTGTTCATCCAAGCAATATACGGGATCTCGTTGAGATCCCGCGGGCACTGGTCAGTAGCAGTAGCTGCGCTCTTGCGCTTACGGGCCATGGCTACGGAGTGGGATAGATCTGTGGAAGAGGAAAACAACATTTGATAGCTGGGGTTGGGTGAGAAGAAGAAGAGGAGATTGGGGAGGGAGAGATGTCAGCAGGTTGGGAAAGGTGCGCATGAGCGGGCGGTGACGTGCGATGGTGGGTTGTTACCACCACTCGTTGGTCTGCCCGGGCAGAGCGGGTTCATTTCCCGCTCAAATCTGCCACCACTTCAGGGGTCCAGGTGCATGCGGTCGGGCCGACCAACACCATGACATTTCGACATGCGTGCGATTTCTAGGATGTGACCGGGCCTCGTATGACTCGTCCGCGACACCAGCGCAATTCACGCCAACCAATGTAAAATACAGTGAAAGTCACATTACTGCGATCCGCGTTTGTGACACAATGCAGTTTTACATGATTTTGGGTGTCACAAAGTGATTGAGACACAAGTGTCTCCACAGGAATGTTCCCTTAGAGGTGATGATGTAAAACCGAGGCTCACACCTTGGGATCGTAGCTTGTACCTAGTCTTGATAAGAAGACTGTACTTAGTCATGGTTGTAACCATGGAAGATGCCGCGAGCACTGACAATCTCGGAGTTGCCTTGAAACTCGTCGCAGTAACAAGCTTTGACATTTCGTTAAAGGCTGGGCTTGTCGCAGCAGCTGACGAGCACACGCGACCTCCACACCACAGGCAGCCAGCCAACCAGCCAGCCGACACGCCACACCAGAGAAACACACAACCAGAACCAGAATAGCTGTTTAGGGCGTGTGTCCTTCGTAACAAATTGCAAAGTTTGCTTTTTAGACTCGAGTTTTCACAGTTCAACTAGGTTCGAACTGTAGTCGAATATTACAGTTTCCGATTGTCGAGCCGCCCTGCAAATTTTTAATCAAGCACATGTGACATCGAGGGGTCGACTATCGAAACTCGACTTTCTACAGCATTTCTCGAGCCGCGTGCGCGTATCGTAGGTTACCCGGTTTGGGTTATTGACAGTTCGCCACGTCGTCAAACCAGCCTGTAGTTCGGTAGTGCGCACGATGACCTTCGTCAGTGTCGCCCGTTTCGCATCATCCATGAACGTGGGAAGAAGGACACACGTTCGCCAAAACGTGCGGGCGCACGTTCGGTTGGAAATTCGACCTGTGTTCGAATTCCACGTTCGGTTCCATCTTCTCGCGTCATTTTGACGATTGTCGCAAAGAGTTTTAGCGAAATTAACGAGGCCGGTAACCATACAAAGTTCGAACTCGAATTTGAACTCGGCCCACCAAGGACACGCGCCCTTATCGCTCTTGGTGTTTGTATCTCATCATTCTCGCCTCGCAGCACACAACCTCACGCACACCCTCCCCCATGGCCTGCAGATCGCGCTCATGTCGCGTCTAGCCGCACTCGCGCTCTTCGTTCCGAGCTCCGATCGTTCATGGCCGTGCGGGTTTCTCGAGGCGGATTGTCGCGCGTCCTGCGGAGTCGTCATAGCACGATAGCTTCGCCATGGATCACTCCACTTGCAGCCACGCTGGATGCTCTTACTCCTTCCACTAGTACCACTACTGCTACAACTACTAATAGCACCGTCCTCGCTTCGAGTAGCAGCCACCACGCGTTAGTACCTCCAGCCAGCGAATCTCCCGCGCAGAGGCCGATCCGTCGCAGCGACTCGTTCCTTCACGAGAGCTTGGCGCGTCGCTTCAACGATCGGGTTGGCGTTGCCAGGCCATGCCATGCGCGCGATAGCGCTCCGATGAGGCTCTTATACACGGGAGGCCAGGCCATGCCCATGATCTCCAGCAACCCCACGAGACGACCGTATCTCATCGACACGCTAGCGCTGGTGGGTCGTTTCGGTGCCTGACTGACTGCTTGTTCGCCCCTGGGTTTCGATCAGTAACGGCCTGTTTCAACAAGCAGGATTCGTTGCGAGTGCTTCTTCAGCTTTTCGGATTCAGCTAGCAACGGACCCGTAGCACGATCACTCACCAAGCTTTGCTCTTCATTCGATGCAGGTGCGGCGGCTGGAGGCGGAGGGGCTGACGGCGCGGCAGGCGGAGGCGATAACGCAGCTGATCGCGGAGGTGCTGCACGACAGCCTCGACTCCGTCGCACACACCTTCGTCTCCAAGCCCGACTTGAACAAGGTCCCATCACCATCCGCACCCAACCGTTTTGTCCACCCCGCGTGCTCATGGTGGTGCTGGGATTCGTTGGTGATTCTAGTTGTGTTTCCTATGTTGACGTTGGTTTTTTTTTGTTTCATGATCTTTTTGTTTTTGTGTTCTTATTCTTTATTGTTTTCTTCTTTCCCGCAGTCGGAAATGGTGGCGGAAGCAGCCCTGGTGAAGCTCAAGGCGGAAGTGCAGAGCACGCTTGTGAGTGCCTCCATCCCTGCATGCATGCATGCGTCTCGTCTCGTCTCGCTCCGCGTTGCTGCGCTGTGTGCTTCTGTATCGCATCTGCTTTGCTCGCCCGGTCAGGTCGTGTCGAGCTGAGGCGAGGTGCTGGCTGGTGTGGTGGTGCAGGACCTGAAGTTCGCGGCGTTGCAGAGGGAGGTGGAGGGGCTCAAGATCGGAGTGGACAAGGTGAAGAGCGAGATACGGTATGTATGCATGTTATGCATGGCCCCAGGGGATCAGAAGGCTAGAGCCTATCAGAGAGCACGGTACAGGGCACGCTGCGCTGCAGGCAGATTAGCTGCGCGCGGTGGAGACTAGCGTGCAGTGGCAGTTGCTGTTGTTTGCCGCCGTTGCTGCATGCGCTGATGAGGCGTGTAATTGGGTGCCTCGTTTTTCTTGCAGATACGAGGTGGACAAGGTAACAGCAGGGCAGAGGCTCGACTTGAATCTTGAGAAGGGGTGCGTATTATCGGTGTCAATGAAAGGGTTGAGCTGGGTTTTAATGGTCTGGAGCTGAGGGCATTTGGGTTGTGTGGTGTGCAGGCGGGTGAAGGAGGAGATGAACGTGCAACTACAGGAGATGAATATCTTGTCAAATAAGCTGGATAAGGTGAGCTGACTTGTGTGTGTTTCTGAGTTTTGTGTGGTTGGAGGAGAGAGAGGACGGGAGGGAGAGGGAGGAAAGTGACGGAGGAGAAACTTCTGAGGGAAAGAGGGAGTGACGGAGGTGGAGAGTGTGCTTGCAGAATCTGCTGTTTGTAACTTATTTGTTTTGTAATGGCGCTGCATGGTGTTATGGCCCTTGCAGGAAATAAACAATCTGAAGACACAACTCGAAGCCGCCAAGTTTGAGATTATTCGGTATTGCATAGGTGAGTCCAGGAGAGGAACGAGTGTGTTTCTGATGCGCATGGTTCAATGGTTGTCGATTCGTTGCACTTGCAAGTGTGTCTAGCTGCTGCTGAATGGTGTCTGGCTGGCTGGCATTGGTGAAGCATCAACTTGGGCGATTTCAGAGTTCTGATAAATTTTCGTGTGCTTATGTTTTGCAGGTACATTGGTTTCCATCAGTGCTCTCGGCTTAGGTATTCTTCGGTTAGTTATGTGAAGACTGGGCTTATTATGTACTCGTCACTGGATGTTCTGGTATTTCATTAATATTATCAAGAGTCGATTTATTTGATCGCTTTCTCTGAGTAATAATCGATGGGCATGTGCCTTCGCTCCTTGTGGTGTTTTGAGTTGAGTTTTCTATCCAGTCATTCGAATAATATAAAAGGGAAAGTTGTTCCAGTCACTGTAAATCTACCGGTACATCGGTCTTCTCAATAACTGCTTCTAACAGTCTGTCACACCTGCTCCACTTGAACAGCCGGTTTGGAACGCAGCATACCGAACAACACCGAGGCCTCTCCACTTCCAGTCGATCCTTTTTTAGCCTCCACCAATTTCCCGCTGCGTGCTTCGCGCTTCACAGAGCCTGTGCGGTACCAGCGGCTCAGTGCTCCAATCCGCACTGCTTAGTGGCCGTTGGATTGACGCGTCTCTCGCATGCCGTGATACAAAATCGAGTATCGATAATTAAGTATTGAGAAGCTATCATCTATTATCGAGTATCGACCATCTATTATCGAGTGTCGACAATCTATTATCGAGTATCGACCATCTATTATCGAGTATCAAGTCCTGCAGTGTCCACTATCCAGTATCAACACTCCGCGTTCGTCTAACGAGTGCAGTGCGCGGCGCGAGGAGCAGCAGGCATGGTGTTCATCTCGCTACTGGAGCCCTCACGCGACGACGCTAAGCGCTGCTGCCAGCTCACAAGGTAACCTCGCGCACTGCCCTGCACCGCCTCCCCGTCTGCAGCTTCTCCTCCCGTCCGTGCGCTATCTCCTCCCCGCATCGCCCGCGCAAATGCCACTCGCATCGCCCCAGGTCCTCTCGCCTCCCCTTGCCGCTCTCCACCGCACCTAGCCGCACACGCGCCTTGCCACCCCGACACCGGGGGTGCGGCGAGGCGAGGCTGATGCGGTGACGGCGGCAGCGCGTGGCGCTGTGAGGGCCGTTCACGGGGGATCCGCAGGGGCTGTGCTCTGCTTGGCCACGAAACCCTGCTGGCTTATTAACAAGCCCACAGTCCACTCCACTCGAGATACATGCACCAGCGCTGAGCGTGCAGCAGCGCTGAGCGTGCAGCAGCGCTGAGCGTGCAGCAGCATGCGGTGCGATGGCTCAGTCGGTCCCCATGCCTCCTCCCACTCTCACTCTCTCCCTCCCAATCCCAATCCTACTTCCCTCCTCTCCAACCCACCTTTCGTTTCGCCCGCCACTCCCATGCCCCCTCACTTCCCGCACGCCCCACCCCTCTTTTCCAGATCTCTCCCCCTCAACTACCCGTCGCAGCTAGTGGGCGTTACAAGAGGCGGCGTGGGTGCCGTAACCAGAGCCGTGAGCGCATGGCAGGGTGGGCAGCACGGGGGAGAGGCTGGCTTGGCAGAGGAGCAGCTGGGCAGTAGCAGCAGCAGCAGCAGCAGCAGGATTAGGAGTGACAAGGTGGGAAGCAGCAGCAGTGGCAGTATTGATGACTACAAGAGCGACGGCAGCAGCAGCAGCAGGAGGAGGGGCGGAGTGGGAGGGAGGGAGTGGTGGCGGGTGGACGGAGGGGCGTTCAGGTGCATGCACAGGTGTGAGAAGGTGGGCAGAGGGGACACGGCCTTCCGCCACTGCCAGCAGCTGGTGGGCACATGGAGGTGCGTGTGTGTGCCCCTGCACTCACGTCACCACCATGCAGGCATTGTACCGCCTTTGCTCCCATCCTTTCCCTCCCCTGCGTCTTCACCGTTTCTTGTCATTCAACTCTGCAGTCACCTTTCATCTCTCCTCATCGCTCCTCATCGCTCCTCATCGCTCCTCATCGCTCCTCGTCGCTCCTCATCGCTCCTCATCGCTCCTCACCTCTCCTCATCGCTTCTCATCTCTCCTCATCGCTCCTCATCTCTCCTCATCTCTCCTCATCTCTCCTCATCTCTTCCTTTTTATAGAGCTTCACGTAGATGAGCGCATCTCTTCACTCCATACCGCATCGCCCCCTCATTAAACACCAACACCGTTACATTTTGCATTGCCCTATTTCTCATTCTCTCGGCCCTCTGCACATTCTTACCCCCTGCCCCGCGCTTCCTTTCCTCCAGGCACTTCAACCTGGGATGGACATGGGCTCTCTCCGTCCCGCCACCATCCACACATCCCTCTAAGACCACCATCACCACATCCACTCGCTCTCCTCCTCCTCCTCCTCCCTCTCCTCGCCTCGCATCTGTGGGAGATACCGTGTGTGTGGCAGCGCGCTCGCTCTTCCTCACCCCCCCATGGACCATGAACCCCCTCCGAGTCATCTTCTCCGATACATCCCCTCCTCTCCCCGCTCCTCCTCTCACACCCTCCTCCTCGACACCCACCCGCTCGCACCCCACCGCCACCACCATCACCCTCTCCTCCTCCTCTCCCACTGCAAGCCCTGAGTCTGCCCGCAGCATGGGCACGGCACCACCAGGCATCTCGCTCACAGCAGCATACTCTGTGGGCAGTGGCACTGTCCAAGGCCACTTCCTGGTGCGCCTCTCACACACCTCATGCACAACTCATGCCCATGCCCATAACCATGCCCATGCTATTGCTCATGCCCATGCCCATGCCCGTGCCCATGCTCATGCCCATGCCCATGCCCGTGCCCATGCTCATGCCCATGCCCATGCCCATGCCCATACTCGTTTCCCTGTATCGCGATCCATTGACTCACAACCTTAGGCCACTTACTTTTAACCCCCCCACACCCACCTTTTCCCCCTTTACCACACCCCCCCGCATTGGCATGCATGTGCACCGCATGCATGGTCATCAGGAGGGGGAAGAGCGGTTTCTGGTGGGGATGGACGGCAACAAGGATGTGTGGTTCGAGATCCTCTCCATATCACGCCCCGCCAACCCACTCGCCCTTGCCTTCTCTCCTCTCGCAAGATTCATGCAGCGTAGATTCGCTGAAGATGCCATGGGCTCGGTTAGAGGACTCTTGCAGAATGAGACTGCTATTCTGGAGGGGAAGTGATCATCCGAGCATTTTACACTACATTCAGGAAATATGTATAGTGGCAAATACGGATTTCTTTTGACAAATACGGTACGGTACAGGTATTGTATTCCCCTGGATAGTTGCCCCTAGGGGCGTTCATGGATTTACCAGTTGGTGAAAAGGGGTGCAAATGTGTGCTAAGCTCGAAGAGTTTCACACTTGACAGGCAAATCGTTGTGGAATGATGAGGCTGGCTGGGAGCAATAGAGCTAGCTAACCAACAGCTTGACAGCAGTTCATTTCTAAGTCAGAAGTGCGGCAGGATGACGAGGCTGGCAATAGACAGTACGGTACCAGAAGATACAACAGCAGCATCAACCCAACCCATGGTGCACAGAGCAGGGATTTCTGGTGAAGAGGATTGCAGCAACCAGTGCTATGGGAACTTGCAACTCATTGAGTCGGCCAGACCAGCCTCTGGCATCAAATAATAACACCTTGCACAGAGTGAAGTATGACGCCACGCCACCTTTGTGTGGAGCACAATGCAAATGGCACGACCTAGGATACGGGGGAGCACACCCTTTTTTACTGTATGCTACGCACAAATGCGCCTCCATTGTGTAACAAGCGATTATGCGTTTCCCACATTCTCTGCTGGTTCTTTGCTACGCACCTGCATTTTCAGTACCATTTTGTGCAACTCCTCGTTTTCTCGTTCCCAAGGTTCGCAGCAGAAGAGTCCAAGCCTACTTATCTATTCGTATCCACCGCGTTGGTGGATATGCATGTGTAGATGATGTTGGGTTTGGTGTTAGCTGAGCTTCTAGAGGGCTTATCGTGGTGCGGATTCAAAGCCCCATCCTGTATTCCCGTGTGCCATCTTCCCGCCCCTCCTAGCTTCTTCCAGCCTTCTGCAGCTCTTGTGGTATTGTGTGGTTAGATCTGGTATGTCACACCTTGTTCATGGCACATTCCAGTTGCTGAGATGATTCGGTTCAGTTCGATTCCTCAGATTGAACTCTTACTATGGAATGAACGATGGTTATTACATAAAAGATGGACACAGAGGTAGTGTACCAGCACAAAACACACAAAACAAAACAAAACGGATACGGGAAGCAGGGGAATCCAGAACCCATGCTCTCGCCCATCAGCTGTTGCCACCATGATAACGCAGCGGAGATGCCGCAGCGATGCCAAGATGGAAATAGCTGATGCACGAGATGTTCTGCCATGCTGGATTCTCCTGCCCAGACGACGATATCACTACCGTCAGGCACAGCTTACTATTACTACTACTAGTGGTTGTGCAACCCAGGTTGCAACTCAGACGACAGTCGACCTCATCCATTTCCTTTAGACGTCGCCCGGAGTCAACGAGCTCGAGATGATATGGATCGCGAAATTCTTGCTGACGTAGAAGTTCCCAAAGACGAGCACCGCGGGGAGAATGTCCGAGCCGCCCTTGAGCACCACGGAGGGCAAGAGCTTGCCGGACAGCTTGGTGACCTTTCCGCCCTCGTACGTGGTGAACTTGGTGAAGCGCGCCGCCTTGCGGAGCTTTCTCTTGGTGAACACGCCCTTCAGCATGTGGTAACGCGCCACGCGCCTGCGCTCGCCCGCGGAGAAGCGCACCCAGTTGCGCACCACTTTGAGCGGGTTGATCGGCTGCAGCACCGTCACGGGAGTTGCCTTTGAGGTTCCATTCACGCGTTTCACCATCCGGACTGCCATTGCGGTTCAAGTACAGCAAACAGGAGGGTGTCATTTCAACTTTCCCTGAGCTAATAGCAGTGACGCGTTGCTGAGCTTGTGAGGCTGGACAGAAGCGAATAGACTGCGAAGTATAAACGGAGTACTCACAGAACTTCTCAAGAAGCGGAGCTGTCTTGGCGTAAGGCGACGCTCGGAGGGTAGAGAGCGCGTTGTCCACATCCTCCGAGCTGATGCTTACGGTGTCATCAACCGTGGCCGCTTCCACGGCGACAGCAACAGCCAGGAGGGCGGCGACGAGCAGAAAACGCGAAGAGATTCTCATTTCGTTGACCAGCAGTGAAATCAGTGCTGATATGAAAATAGGAGGCCTAAGATGATTTTGCTTGCAGAAGTGATCCTCGGTGGTAGTAGTGCTGGCCAAGGAGGAATGGATGTTTTCAAAAGCAGAAGCTTGTGGTTTTGGTTAGCGAGGCCACCATTTGAACTGGATTTCAAAGTGGATTTGAGAAATTCAGCGACCGAATGTAGGAAATGCGGTTCGGGCGCAACCTGCGGTGAATTGTGCCAAGCTACATTGGTCACGTTGTTCGTGTCCGCCAATGAATTTGCTGAAAGACCTGATTGGTTTACGCTCCTTGCGAAATTAACGATTAATCTGACGACATGTAAACGACGAAAAGTTTATCGCAAACGGTGGTGCTTGTTGTCACTTCGACTTCACAGAAGCCTAGGCTAGAAGTACTGTACATACACCCAAACTCACCGACCTAACTGACGTCACCCGAACGTGACTGGTCAAATGTGCGAAATAAGAGCGGTACATGTTTAGACTTCTCAGACTCATGTGGAGTGTAAGTGCATATACGAAAGAACCGCATCAAACAGAGAGAAAACAGAACTCCTATACAATAGGGTAGCATCCACAAGCAGAACAAGGTTTTCAATTCGTAAGTTATCTTTTTGCTTTTCACCTTCCCAACTGCAGTCGTTAAGTGAGAATATGCAGATGGGCGCATGAACTCCAACTTGGTTATGCATAAGATGAAGAAACAAAACATCCAACCATACATCCTCCAGCCCACAAGCAAGAGACCAGGCCCCTAGATTGGTTTTGGGGTAGGCTGAAAAATCAGAGTTCGCTCGCAAATTTACGCTGAAAATCAGCCAAAAATGGCATATTTCCATTAAAACACACTAGAAAATCACCAAGTTTTTTGGGGAAAAGGCTGACAAATCAGCCTTGGTACAGAAAAAAAGGCTGAATGAAGGCTGAATCAGCGTAAAAAGGCTGAAATCTAGGGGCCTGCAAGAGACCTAAGAAAACAACCACAAACACTCTGAAAAACCTACCTTCCAGTACCATCAGCTGCACTGTTCCACTGCACTCCTCCAATCTTCCATCATAGCTTCTTATTCCCATCTACGATAACTGTGGCCTTCCTGGCAATGGAGCTGGGAAGTGCACACGTTGTGCGCCTGGCGCTGGAGCCTAGGCCTTGGCATCGGAGGGGCCTGCCTTGCGGGGGCTGTTGTCGGGCTTCTTGTTCTTGCCAGTGATGCGATCACGGATGTTCTTAAAGAAGTTCTTGATTGCACTCGCCGTCCTCTTCAGCACCCCCGGCTTCTTCTCTTCCTTCTTCTCCTTCTTCTCCTCCTTCTTCTCCTCGCCCTTCTTCTCATAGGTCTTCTTCTCTTCCTTCTCGTCCGCCAGCTTCCGTGAAAACTCAACCCCTTCCTCATCCTCATCCTCCTCCTCCTCGCTCTCCGTCCCCTCCTCTTCCTCCTCCTCCTGAAGCTCCCTGGACATCTGAATATCATCAGCCTCTTCCTCCTCGTCATCATCCATCTCACCGCCTTCCTCGTCGCTCTCACTGTCCTCCACAAGAACCCTCCCTTCCACATCCTCCTCCTCCTCCTCCTCCTCTTCCGCGCCCTCCATCCCACCAGCCGCCTCCTCCTCCTCCTCATCATCCTCCACGTCTCCGCCCTCTACCAGCACTCTGCCTTCCTCGCCGTCAATCCCCTCCTCACCCTCCTCTCCCTCTGCAAGCATCCTTCCCTCCTCGCTCTCCTCGCTCTCCTCGCTCTCCTCGCTCTCCTCGCTCTCCTCGTCCTCATCGCCCTCCTCGCTTTCATCCACCCAGTCGCCCTCCGCCAGCACGCGCCCCTCTTCCTCCTCCTCCTCCCCTTCCCCCGCACCCTCCTCTGCCATCTCCCCCACCATCTCTTCCGCCGCGCTCTCCTCCTCCGCCAGGCTCCTGCCCTCCGCGCGCTCCTCAGCGTCCGCCTCCCACTGCGCCTCGTCGTCTCCGAGCGCCCACCCGTCCGCCGCGTCGCCCTCGCCCTCTTCGAGCGCCATGCGCGGCCCGGCGGTGACAAGGCCGGTGGCGTGGCTGCCAGTGGTCCACGCAGCGGGAGGGAGCTCGCTTGCCACACCATCGTCGCCGCCGCCACTCCACGAGGCCGCAGCGCTCACCACCACCGACGCGGCCGGCGCGGCGAGCAGAGGCAGCAGAGTGGCGAGGAAGAGCAGCAGCAGCGGCGAGGGCGCGCGCGCGCCTCCAAGGCGGGCCATGCTGGCGGGAGAATGAGAGGTGGTGCGGCGCACGCTGGGAGCGACGGTTGCGCGCAGCTGGGAGAGCTCGGCGGGGCTGAATCGATGGCGCTCTTGAAGTCACAACGACGGAAGCTTGCTTCTTTTCAAGGCGGTCCGAAGCTGGTCTGATATGGAGCTGGTTCTCGTGCGCCTCGATGAGGGAAGCGAAAGGTGATGCCTTTCTCAAGGCCTTGCCAGCTCCATTTATGCTGCCGACGGTCACCGAGCGTGCTGCGCGATGGGCACGGTGACGGGCTTGCCTGGCGTGGCTCCGCCCGCGAGTTGCGGCGAGGGCGAGCGTGAAGTCGCTCGGCGGCAGCGGTGTGCTTTGCCACGATCATTGCTGGGTTGATGTCCGGGCTTCGCGGACAAATGTCACGCACCCTGAATAGAGGCGCCACGGTGACAGTACGGCTGCTGAAGCATGTCGCTTGCTTGCTTGCGGGCGCCGCGGAGAGTATGAAAGGATGAGTTCAAGGGATAAACGAGGGTGGGGCGCGCAATTATGTGTCAACTGCGCCCTACTTTCGCTCCCTACTTTCGCATGAGGCAGGAAAATGAAAGCGGAAATTATTTTCTCCCAACAGTACGTGACGCATACCCGTCTACACAAACTTGTTAAAAACAAGATGGTATCAACTAATTACTGTGCTAAATAATTGGTAGGAACCTTTCTACAGTAACACTATTCTGCTAAGTTACTGCGATTGTACTAACTTACTGCTGAATTGTAACAAGTATAGATTTTCTCTCAACAACAAGGACGCCATTATGGCCCACACTGAAAAAAATGACGGTAAGGAACATGTATTTATTCATGTATTTTCTACTTAGTATGGATTGATTTCATATATAGTTTTCATCTATACTGGTGTTAATCTCAGAATTAGCATGCAACGGAATGATGAAACTAGCAAGTGTGGAAGTACAAATATGCAACCCTAACAACTGTACTCCCTATTGTGCTACTCATTGTAGCCTATAAGCATAGAATTACATTTGACACACCCCCATAGGCTAAGTGAGGGGCATCAAAGCAAGCAAGGTGAACAAACGGTCACAAGACCAGTCAAAGCAAGAAACAAGGCAAGCTCAGGGTGGATCTCAAGGACACCACACAAATTCCGAGCGCAAGCAAGCGGCCACAAGGCCAGTTCAAGAGTTCACTAGGATATAAATAGGAAGCACAACAAGCAGAGCAAACAACAAGACTACAGCAACCGAGGGCCTACCTCAACAAGCCCCAACTGCACACAGAACCTGTGGTGATCACCAAGCCCTTGGTGAAGACGTCTGCAGTGTTGGCCTCTGAGGCCACAAAGTCCAGGCGTGCCTGGCCGCGTCGCTGCAGCTCTCGCAGGAGGAAGTACCTCACGTCAATATGCTTCACTCTGCTCTCCAGTCGAGGCTCTCGACACAGGAGGATCATGGCCTTGTTGTCAGCGTACAAGGTCGGTGCAGAGCGAGGCCGCTCACCAAGGTCGGCGAGCAAGAAGGTCAACCAGCGAAGCTCCTGTGCCGCCATGGCACCAGCGTAGATCTCTGCCTCTGCACTGGAAGTAGCCACAGACGACGACCGTGTAGACCTCTGCGACACAATAGGGAGTCGCAGTGACCAGTCAACGCCACTGGCCGAGTCCCTCCAAGCACAAGCCCCATGCCTGATGTAGTCGCCAGGTACTTCGCCACCCTCACAGCAGCTGTCCAGTGGACAGGGCGGTGTCTCCCAGTCGCAACAAAGCGAGAAAGGATGCTGAGTGGAAAGGCGAGGTCTGGTCGAGTACAAGTCATCAGGTACATGAGGCAGCCCACCAGCTCTGCGTAGGGTCCATTGGACTCGAAGGGCTCGTCAGGAAAGGGGCCCGTGAGTCTGTGGTCAACAGCAAGAGGAGTGGGCTGTGTGGTGGAGAACTGGAAGTCGAACCGCCGAAGGACCTGCTGCACCATGTGTGACTGCGTCAGTGTGATGGTGCGAGCGGCTCTGTCCCGGGTGATCTGCAAGCCAAGGTAACGCTGCAGCTCACCCAGGTCAGTGCACTTGTGTCTCTTCTGCAGTTCGGACTTCACCTGAGCCAGGGCTGCCCTGTCTGCTGTAGCAAACACCAAGTCGTCGACGTAGACAAGGATAAAGAAAGGAGTAGAACCCGCTCGAACAAACAGCGACGGGTCGGCGGAGGACGGGCTGAACCCAAGGTCACGAAGCGTGGAGCGAAGAGTGTCGTGCCACTCACGGGGCGACTGGCGGAGACCGTAGACTGGTCGCCTCAGGCTCCACTGGGTCCCAGGTGGGAAGGTGTCAGTGAAGCCAGGAGGACGGCGCAGCCAGATCTCCTCGTGCAGTCGGCCCTGGAGGAACGCAGTGGAGAAGTCGAGGGAGTGCAGCTCGTAGTCTCGCTGCGCTGCTATGTGGAGTAACACCCGAAGAGTAGTCATCTTCGGGGTCGGGGCGAAGGTCTGGAAGAAGTCAACTCCCTCACGCTGACTGAAGCCCCTAGCCACGTAGCGCGCCTTGAACACCGGCGGTGCTCCAGGCGGCCGCTTCACCTTGATGAGCCACATGCCATCGACTAAGTTCGCCCTGGGAGGGGGAACTGCGTCGACGTAGGTGCCTGTGGATCTCCAAGACGCCATCTCTGAGTCCATAGCCGCTTTCCACTGAGAGGCCCACGCCCCTGACACTGCCTCGCGGTAAGTGCGAGGAGTCGGTATGTCAAGGGCGTCGGGGTCTCCCTCAGGGGAGAGCAGCATGGCACATACAGAGGGAGAAGCGGCTGCCCAGTACTCCAGCTCAGACTCTCTGTCCTCTAGGACGTCACAGCCAAGGGCAAACTCACCCCCGACGGACAGAGGACGGTAGGGAGGAGCTGGCACCACACGGGTGGCGTAGTCAAGGCGGCTGGCGGCAGCAAACTCAGCGACATCGGCAGTAAGAGCAGAGACCGACAACGGAGGGAAACGAGAGTCGGTGACAAGAGTGGCGAGGACACGTGCGGCAATAGGACGAACAGTGCGGTAGTAGTCAGTGATAGGAGTGGGGAGGGCTGGGAGAGAGGACGGAGGAGACGGGAGAACGGACACAGGAGAAGGAGAACGACGACGAGACGTACAAAGGAGGGCAGTGTGGAGGTCAGTAACAGGGGACGAGTGACGAGCACGCGGAGGACAACGAGTGATCAAGTCGTGACGGACCGAAGGAGGAGGAGACTGAGGAGGAGGAGAAGACCAGACCGCCGGACGGTCGTCAGGAGGAGGCAACGGAGGAACAAACACAGGAGGAGACTGGGAGCGGACAGGAGGAGAGGAGGAAAAACCAAGGGCCCGCAGGCCACTAACAGGTGGGAACAACCGCCGCTCGAGAGGAAGCTTCGGTGGCGGCTGCGGCTGCTGCTGCTGCTGCGGCGGCGGCTGCGGCTGCGGCTGCTGCTGCTGCGGCTGGTGCTGCGGCTGGTGGTGCTGCTGCTGCTGCTGCTGCTGCTGCTGCTGCTGCTGCTGCTGCTGCTGCCGCTGGTGCTCCAGAAGGTCCAGCACCCGCAGCTCCTGCCGCTCCCTCTCCAACCGCTCCTGCTCCTCACGCTCACGCCGACGGGCAGCCTGGAGTCGTGTGTCGTGGCGGTGGGGAGGCGGAGTGGACTCCGCAGAACCAGGGTCAGACTCCTCAGACTCAGCACCCCCAGAACCTGCATCTCCAGTGCCAGGACCTCCAACTCCAGCACCCCCAGAACTAGCACCGCCAGTGCCAGCACCTCCAGCTCCTGCACCCCCAGAACTAGCACCTCCAGTGCCAGCACCTCCAGCTCCAGCACCTCCAGAGCTAGCGCCACCTGCGCCAGCACCTCCAGCTCCAGCACCCCGCGACCGAGTACCCCCAGACCAAGCACCGCCAGCGGCTGCATCTCCAGCTCCAACACCAACCGAGTCCACAGTAACCTGTCGCGGAAGTGCCGAAGGCTGCTGAGGGGACTGTGAGGAGGACTGCGGGGAGGGAGACGCTACATGACGCGCGACCGAGGGTAGAGGGGTAACGTGGGACACACCAGACGGGGCAGGACCAGGGGGGGGCGGGGGTACCGGAGGAGCGGGAGCAGGAGGAGGAGAGGGTGCGAGGAAAAGAGGGGGAGGGGGTACCGGGAGACCTCGACAGGGGTACCGGGTGTAGTAGGACACGGACTCGTCAAACCGGACGTCACGGGAGTCTAGGAAATGGTGGAGGGGAGGGTGGTAAAAGGACCAGTCGGCAGAGTCCACTGGGAAACCAAGGAAGACACAGGGGACGGCGCGTGCCGAGAGCTTGTCCGCGGAGGTGTCGCGAACAAGCGCAAGGCAGCCCCAGACTCGAAAGGCCGACCCGACACCAGGGGAACCAGTCCAAAGACTGGTCGGTGAAGCCTCGGGCCGCGAGACACGCGGCTGGAGGTTCAGCTGGTGTGCGGCGTAGCGAACCGCGTGGGGCCACAGAAAATGGGGCGCACGGGCATGGATCATGGACGTGCGGGCGATGTCCATGACCAAGCCTATGCGGCGCTCAGCAACCCCATTCTGCTGTGGGGACTCTGGCAGCGTCCAGGACTGGGTGATGCCCTGTTCGCCGCAGAATCCGCCGAGAATGCCGGAGCGAAACTCGCCCCCACGGTCGGAGTGGAGACAACTGACTCGACGACCACGAGTGCCCTCAGTGGCTAGAAGCCACCTGATCAGCGTAGCAGTCACCTCGGACTTCTTCGCAAGAGGGAACACTGTGGTGTACCTGGAGAAGTCGTCGACGACCACCAGAAAGTAACGCTCCCTCCCAGACCCCTGCGTCGGGGCAGGGCCCCAGACGTCCAAGTGGAGAGTCTCGAAGGGAGCGGTGGCCGGACGAAGGGAGGAGGAGTGGGGAGTGGCGCGTAAGCGACCGGCGACGCACGGAGAGCAAGGAGGGGCAAGCGAGAGAGGGAGCGACGGGAAGGTGCGTGGGAGACCTGAGACAAGTCCCTGACTGAGCATGCCACGTAGGCGAGGGATCGACGGGTGGCCAAGGCGGTGGTGCCACAGGACGGTGCGGTGGGTGAGAGAGCGACAGGAGCAAGACACAGCGACTGGACTGGACACAGCGACCGGACCGGACACTACTACCTGGCTAGACACAGCAACTGGACTGGGGACCTGGGCCGGAGGGGACGCAACGACCTGAGGGGAGGACGCGACCGGGGAGCGCTCGGTGTGGAGAACGTAGAGACCGGAGCGGGGCTCCCTGGTGAACGTGGCCAGAACAGCACCTGTGGTAGCGTCTATACAGACTGCAGTCTGCCCACCCCCCACGAAGGTAACCGTGATCCCCCTGTCCTGGAGGTATCCAACACCCACCAAGTTCCGAGTGAACGAGGGGATGTGGAGGCCGCGCAGGACACCAGAGGGGACCACAGGGCACGGGAGGGTGGTGGAGCTATGCGCAACGGCTGGTCCAGAGGTAGGATCAGCCAGAGCCACGGACACAGGTGTGAGGAGTGGTGTAAGGGTCGTGTGGTCGCGGAAGAAGCACTGAGACGCGCCCGAGTCCAGCGTGAACGACAGGGAGGCCTCAGCCGGAGGGTCACCTGACCCAGTCGCTACACAAGCACCT